TAAAATGTCGGCATTCCTGCCACAAATATTTATATATATGAGGGAGAAGGAAAAGCAAAAGAAAGAGGGGGGGGGGAAGAAAATATTGATTTTCTACCATTCCTTTCATTGGCAACTCCTTCACGTGTTTATCTCTCGCTCTCAAGTTTTTTTCTCTCTCACTTAAGGCTAGACTGACCAATCAATATCTGACTCTCCATTAGAAAAATCTAGGGAATCAAAAAACTGAACTTCCAAACAGGATGTATAGAATTCGTTCAGTTTTGAATATTATAAGATTAGAATACGAAACTTCATCAGACTTATATCTACCTCTTTCTACATTCTCTCTTGTATAATGATAAGATGTCTATCCATCTACTTTTATTTTCCCTTTCTTCCTCTAACACCCGCTTCCACTGGCGAACCGTCAAAGGGGTAAGCGAGCAGATCGAAGATTAAATGGCTGTGCACCAACAGGACCGAAAGCAACGTGCAACCGGGAAGAGTAACTTCGAATGAAGTTTCTACCTACTGTATATACTTTGGCATTAATCGATAAAAAAAGAAAGACTTGTTGGATTAAAATATTCAAGCTGGTCCCGAGAACAAAAATATGTTGGCAGAAAATAAGCAGAAAAATCTCTAGACATTAGGCAAGAATTTAAAAATCAAGGAAAGGGCAAAGTGCAGATGAGACAATATATGGATAAATATGGGTAATAAACTATAAAAGAGGAAAGTGTTTTCGGTCGTGATTGTGATGGAAATTTTGCAGTCGTGATTTCTTAAAATAAGAGGGATAAGACGAAATGGAAGGCAGATATATCGACATACTGAGATCGATCGATAGATAGGAAAGAGAGTAGATATATAGAAATTGTTAAATAGATAGGCAGATAGATTCAGAAACTGATAAATTGAGAGGGATGTGCATATAAATATATATATACACTTATACATATATACATATACACATATATATATACATACACATATATATATACATACACATATATATATACATAGACACATATATATATACACATAAATATATATACACATACACACATATATATACACATACACACATATATATATACATACACATATATATATACATACATATATATATATATACATACACATATATATACTTACACATATATATATACTTACACATATATATACTTACACATATATATATATTTACACATATATATACATATACATATATATACACACACATATACATATATACATACACATATATACATATATACATAAATGTACATATACATATAGAGAGGAGGGGAGAAGAAAGTGAGTTACATATATATGTGAATGTGTGTGTGTAAAGAAAGAGAGAGAGAGAGGAAGAAAGAGAAAGAGAAAGAAAGATAGAAAGAGAGAGAAAGAGATATATAAAGAGAAAGAGAAAGAGAGAGAGAAGGTGAATTGGTTCGAAATTCCTTAACCAGTAACTGTCATTGCTGCACACGACACGCAGTGAAATCCCTTATCAATCGCTTATATAAGCGTGGAGCGTTGCCTGTCGTTTCAGAACTGCCTTTCGGAGTTACTCGACAGTGTGCAGTGTTGATACAACTTCAAAATGCCTGATCCTTGCTGTAACGGTAAGAAAGTTTGTTAATATTCTTTCTCTAAAGTTGTGAAGTATATATTTCTTATTTCAGATTTTACCAGAAATTCCATAACAGAAATGTTTAGTCTTTCGCATGGTGATCAGTGTTATTATGAATTTACTGTTGATTCTATCATTTTTCTTTTCAGAGAAATGCGTTTGTGCCGAGGGTGTCTGCACGAAGAGCTGCAAGTGCACAAGCTGCAAATGTAAGTATGAGGACCTTTTTTTTTTTTTTTTTTTTTTTGCTTATTTTAGATCATTTCGTATTTGTAAAAGAAGCATCTTTTGCAGATCACCCCAATGTGAAAAGGCAGTCTACAGATTGAATTTTTGCATTTATTAGAAAATAATTTAATATAAGCTGTAAAAGGTCGATCTTTTACAAATCGACCCAATGTCGACGGGCATGACCTGTACGTACATGCCATGCCCACTGAGTTTACTTGTTTAATTGTTTTACACTTGATGGCTGCACTGGTACTAAACCGCCATGAGTTACGAGTACTGCCACTCTCGCCCGTTTACCCCTTTTCCTTGATTTACGAGACCTTAATCTTATCTTGCTAATACTTTGTTATAAACATTAATTAAGACTTTTATGATAAAAAAGTAACCAATTGATGTTTTTAGTATTAGTAAGAAAAATTACCGCCAATTCAAAAGGCCTACTAGTTGACTCCTTTGTAGCTAAGCAGTAGCGGAGCCATCTATTGTGCAGAAATATTGCTCAAATATAAAAAATGAGCACGGCATTTTCCCCATGTTCTTATTTTCCCCGGCGGTACTGGATTAAGAGGGAACTCTCCCTCCCTCCCTCGCATTATAATTGCCTGACTATACATTATATTCTAGGCTCGTCTGGCTGCGCGTGTC